ACACTCAAGACTTGCTCTGGATGCAACTGTCCAAAACCAGAGAGAGAAAATCAGAATCAAAACAGAGACTCCACATCTTGAGCCCAGAAACACTGGAAGAAGTCTTAAAGGGGCTGATTTAGGTTCTTCAGAAGGTGAAGTTTTGTTACTGTTAGAGAATGGAGGGCTTCATCATCTACCAGAGGAATTTTCTAATTGCTTCCACAAAGTTATCAAATGTATGCAGAACAAACCAATTAGTCTCATTTTATTTTGACAGGTTAGGATCAGGGGCCTTGGGCTGTGGAATCACCAGAGAATCAAACCCCCTGTGGAAAAGGCAGTGTGGGTGGTGAGTTTTCATTAACAGTGAGGCCAGCAGGGAAAGGTGCTGCATCAGGATTCTCAGTGGATGAGAGTCACCTGTCAGGATCTCTGCAGAGTTGTTTACAACAGAACATTTTGTAATTTAATTTCATATTTGCAAAGCAACAAAAAATGAGTGGAATTATGCTATGAACCACAGAGAGCAAAGTACTGTAAATCTTCACTGAGGGAAGGGTAGAATCAGAAAATTTGAACAAATTAAAATTTGCTTATAGAAAGTTGAGAATCAGTGGGCCACAGCATTTTGCTGAAGGGATGTTAAATGGTCAAGGACGCTCTGGTCATTGAATTACTCTTTTTGCTGTTTAAAGAAGTAGATGTTGGCTGCTCATTTTGTGTTAAGCCAAAGGTTGGTACCTAGGAGATATATCAGTTGTTTGATATAATAAAATGTTTGAATTATACCTTATTTCTTTCACACATGAAAGTATGGTACATATGACCATATAAGAATATAATGTGGAATTCTAAAGAAAATTTTAAAGATGATAAGATCAATAAAGCATCGTTTACATGTCCATAATGGACGGATTCTATCTATTGTAGTAAGAACTAAATCCACTGATCTTAATGTAAACTTGCAAATAAAAACATGAACTTTTTTTTTTTGAGACAGTCTCACTCTGTTGCCTCGGCTAGAGTGCAGTTGCATCATCATAGCTCACTACAACCTCAAACTCCTGGGCTCAATTGATCCTCATGCCTCAGCCTCCTGAGTAACTGGGACTATACGCATCCACCACCACATCTGGCTACTTTTTTTTATTTTCTGTAGAGACAGGATCTCACTATGTTGCTCAGGCTGGTCTTGAACTCCTGGCCTCAAGCAATCCTCCCACCCCGGCCTCCCATAGTGCTAGGATTACAGGCATGAGCCACCATGCCTAGCCTTAAGTACATGAACTTTAGGAGTCACATTTTTCCCCCCAAATGGCTATTCCATTTCTGATGCCACTTCTTTTTATCCTATACTATTTTGATTGTATGATATATGAAGTCAATAACTTATATAATTAGAAATTACTAATGTAAGGCAGAAGTTCTACTGGGAATCAAGAAGAATACAGTATATGAAACTAAAATAGCAACTTACTTAGGTATCCCTTGGAAAGCAACTATACTTCTAGTGCTCAGTTTTATTGGGATTGATTGATTTGATACAATCCTCTGCATGCTAAAAAGTTGTCTGACATGTAACTCTTCATGGGTTTATGTTCTTGGATGCAGAATGAATGTAGATAGAGTCATACTAAACAATGTAAAAAAGGAATAGTGAAATGGAGGAATGCCCAACATTTATCTTCGCACTGCACGATAGACCAATCTTCTGACACTGTGTTCTCTTGGGACATTACAAAGAGAACATTGCATGACCAAAGGGTTGACATTTGCAAGAGTGTGATTACTGGATGTCTGCTTTCTTTCTTTTGGGTGAGGATACCAATTGCACAATAAAATCTTTTTGGTCTTTATTTCTTCAAAACATGAAAACAGAAAATGAAGTAGATGACAATGAGAAGAGAGAAAACATTCCATACAGAAAATGCTGTATTACTAGTGATTAAATCAGAAACAATTAGAAACTTTATTTTTCTGTGTCAATAATGTGTACCATTTATAAGGAACAGCACAATTAGTGCACTTTCCCCCCTAAAGCTGTGCACAATACACACAAAATAAAATAATCAAACAAATAAAATGAAATAATTTTACACAACTATAATAATTAATAACAACCCTGAACAACCAGAATCATATTTTCCTATAGAATGAAAATTGAAAAAGCAAACAAACCAAAAAGCTTTGAAATTGAAATTGACCAACAACAAGAATTTCTTAAAGTCCTCTGTGAAAATTTGCTACAGGATTATTGACATTCCTAATATGGCTAAGAAATGAGTGCAAAATCTTCCTAATGTTTAAACAACTTATATCCCTTGGCTATATTTACTTGGTGTTTCTAGGCTAGATTTCCACTTAGTAAATATCTGGGGAAAAAAAAGGATGGGTTAAAGTGTGTCCCCCCCAAAAAAATTAGGTCACCAATGTTGGTGGGCCACGACAGGTTAGTGGTGGGCCTCTAAGACAGATAAGGAATCGTAAAGGTGCGGGTCATAAAAAGTACTGTTGCCAACAAAGATAATAACTGGGATTAACAGAACATTCTCAGTGATTTGGATCACCAATATGAATGCCCTTTTTGGTTTAAAATGGGAAGATATAAATGTCTGCATGTTGGCCAATATTAAAGAGGGTGCTTTCCCAAACCTACGCTTTATACTATCTTAGTTAAAGAAAATCTTGGCTATGTGGGCAATTGCATTTGTGCAGTTTCAGTGTGTTTATGTCAAAGAAGTTTCATAATTGTGTTTTTCCTTGCAAGATAAAACTGTTTTCATATGGCTGCTTTAACCTAACTTGTGAAAATAGCAGTCACATTAACTGTAATCCCCCCAAGGGCAGTGATCTGGGCTGTTGTGTTCATGGTTTAGTCCCTAGGAAGTTTCATACCACCTGGCATATTGAGTGGGTGGGTAATTAGCACTCAATTATTCGTTCAGTCACCAAATGATGTTTATTAAATGTTGAATGATCATGATTACTGAGTGGAAAAAGAGAAAATAAGTATCAACGACTTTAATTTCTCAAGTATCTCTGAATCAATCTAGAGGGCCAGGGATGTCGCCATCCTGAGATTCCTTATAAATAGAGAAGTCTCTCAGAGGTGACCTCTGAGAGACTATTTTTTCTCATTAGTGGACTCACTACTTTGGAATGTTGGGTTTATCCATGTTCTTTGGTATTTTGAAATAGAAAGAGCCATTCCTTTTAAGTGGTTAAAAACCTCCCAGTGCAATCCTCCAGGGAGGCGCTAATGTCATCGAATTGCCTTCTCTTCCATCGTAAGTAGAGGAGATGCACTTCTGAAGGCCTGTTGGTCACCCTGGCTTCTTTCTGAGTCAGGAACTGCTGATATAATCAGAGGGGTCTAGACTGGACAGTGAAATAAACAGGGCTCGAAATAGCCTTTTACATAAAAAAAATAAAACAAACAAACCAGCACTATCTACCATCTGTGCCAGACAGAGCAGATGTGAAATAAATACTTTGGAGGGAAGGGTGTTGCGGAAAGGGTGGCTCTGAAAGCCCAGGCACATCCAACGCATCCGCTTTTCTACAAGGCCTTTCCCCGTGGCCTTCCTGAACTAATGGTGATTCCTAGAGGCCTCTGATGTGTTCCACATGGCTAATTTTCCAAGAAGGTCTTTGTAGTTTGCCTGTTATCGTCTCAATAACTTTAACTTCTCCCCACCTAACATTTATTGCTTCTTAGAAATGAATGTGCAGATCCATGAACAATAGGCCATTTTTCTCCTTTTGTCCCTAGTAATAATCAAACTCAATAACAACAAAAGTAACAACCCAGGTGAAAAGAAAACTCACTATGTCTTCAACGTCCAATCAACGTTGCTGAATGGGAGAACAGTATATACTATACTCTACTATGTACAGATACACTTTGTTTTGTTTTATTTGTTTTTCATCCATGCACTGTGTAACAGGTATCACAACAACATTTCCAAACAGGCACATGAAGAAGGAGCAAAGGTTCAGTTATGACTGGAACAGGATTGTGCAAGCCACGGATGCCTTTGAAAATAAAAGTGACAGACAATCCCAGGCAACAGCAACATGGGCCTGGGACACATATTAATGCAAATGGAAAAGGATGATGTGCTTTTTGAATGGGGTCATTCTTCCTGTTTGCATGGGGGATGGCAGGTGGATAGGAGGCAGAGGGTTGGAATGGGTCACTTAGGGGGTTAGCTGGGCTGGAATGCTAGAATAAGGGCCTTGCTGATCACAGTCCAGAGCTAAAGAGATAAGAAATAAAGGATTTTGCATGTTCCTGGGAATGTAGGTACATTATCTCTGTACCTGTTGAACAGGAGTGCCAGGCATTATACCCTTAAATGTCAGACTATATCCAGAACCATCCCACTTCCTGGCTCTATTCTAGCTCCTATGCTGCTTCTTGGAGGCAGTTTCACCTCAGCTCACATTCCAGAAATAAGCTTCAAATTTGGTAATATAGTGAAGACATGCTTCTTTCTTCTTCCATGCCCAGATCTCTTCTTAATCCAAAATAATTTTTAAAGTGTTTGGAGGAGGTGAGGGGAATCTTCAAATTTAAATTTTTACCAAAAACCATTTACATTTGGATGGTTCATCACCTCCCACAAAGAGAAGCAACAACCCTGACCCTCCCAACAAAACAAAACAAAAATAAGAGCAAAGATCAACCACCTCCCCAATCCCACTGAAAACAAAATCAAAAACAAGAAAACAAATGAAAGCCTTAACAATTTGTGAACCTGGAGAGAGTACAGCCCTTCCAGGCCGAGCTGTAAAGAGGGCCTTGCCTCCGTGCCTTGTTCAACACGACGATGACCCGGGGAATGGGAGGTGATGGTTTCTTACTTCGGCCCTAGTACAGAGTATGCTCTTGAAGCTGGATTCCATCAGCAGGTAGGTGAACATGACAAATGTCAGTTTCCTCTGTTCGTTATACATAATTTTTTATGTATATATATGTATATATATATATAAATTTACTACATCTGATTGTTCCTTTAGAAGCCTTTTATGTGGCAGTAGGCCTCCAGGGAGGAGAAGAAAATGTACAACAGCCACAGGAGCACAAAGAGGGAGGATGTGAGGAGCTTGGCAGTCCGGGGCCCACCCAGCTCACCTCCGATTTCTGGCCTCCGCCGATACAGCAGCACCCCCACATTGATGAAAGCAAAAATGGTGAAGAGAGTGACAGAGAAAGCTAGCGTGCCAGGGGACACTTTGAACTGTTCCCCATTGGCCGCGTGGTAGATGGCAGCGATGGACCAGGCCACGCCGATTCCCAGAAAGACATTCACCGCGTTGCTGCCAGTGACGTTACCTATGGATGCGTCTGCGTACTGGTCCTGGGTGGCTGCCACTTTGCTGGCAAATGTGTCTGCAGAGGAAGAAGAAAAAGGCAAGGACACTCAATTACACTTTTAAAGATGTCTTTGGAGAGATGAAGCTTCAACCGTGTACTGTGGATTCAAACCCTGGCTATAAACCCAGTGACCAAGAGTGGGCTTTGATGTTCCTTTGAATCAGAGTCACGTGGTCAAAAGAGCAGGATCTAGATACCGGGAGGCACGCATTTGGTGCTGGCTGTGTTATGGACTGAGAAAGGGATCTTGGTCGAGTTCTTTATCCACAGATACCACATTTTTTTGTGATATTGAGCTTGCAGGGCAATATTTTTCCACGAGTAATCATAACTCACCTACATCAGAATCAAGTGGGGTTCTTTTAAAGAACGAATATTACAAGACTCCATCCAGCTGTGCCAGGTCACAATAACTGGGGCCCACGAATCCATTTTAACAATATCCCGAAAGATTCTAGGTCATGAAAATTTGAAAATGGCTGCTGCAGGGTATTGTTAAAAGATGCTTTATCAGCAGCTCTGGTTTATAGATGAGAAAGTTAAGGTGTCAGAAGAGATTTTCAAAGATTCAAGAGCAACTCAATAGTGGAATTGAAAAGAAGTGAACTACGATAATAGCTGACGTTTGCCTAGAGCCTTATAAATTCACCTGTATTACTGCATTGATTGTGATGATTCTAGGAGGTGAGTAAACTAGGCTTAGAGATGATAAGTGGTGGGTGCAACATCACACAACTAGGAAGAAGCCATGTTGGGGCTTGAGCTCCGGCCTCCTGTCTTCACGGCTAATGCCTGTTCATTGAGCCATCTTTCCTTTCACTGTGTCATGGGTACCAATGACCATCCTCAAAGCTCTTAGTTCACCAATAATCCTGAATGTATCTCCTTCTGAAGATAGGAAAGCCATGATCCACTACAGGTGGTCCAGCAGCAGTAACTTACACTTCTTGATGAGTACAGCACAGGAGTTTGGAGCACATTTGAGCCTGTGGGTTTCAAATTCTGCCTTCACAACCGACTGTGTGACCTTGGGCAGATTGCTTGATTTGTCTGATCCTCAATTGCCTAATCTTGAAATGGGGACAGAGATGCCTACTTCAGAGTGCTGTTGTTAGGTTGAAATATTATATGTAAAATGCTTTTTATTATGCATTTTGGCAAAAAGTAAGAGTAGCTCTTTTTGTTGTTTTGGAAAGATAATGTATATAGAGCAGTCTAGAACAGTTTAAAAGATGGGGTGGGATCTAAAACAACTCCCTTTATTAAGCATGTAAACAAAACTTGACTGACAAGATATTAGATTCTTGTCTATATGATGCCTAGTTACTGACATCAAAGTCCTTTCAGCTAACTTTGCAAAATACCTTGCACAGTAGTTTTATAGTAGATAATAACGACTTTCAAATTGAACTCACATTTGCAAAGCCAGTAACAGCAAGTATTTTATGAAGACAAGGTGTTGTGTCATCTGCTCTAGTCCTCCGGAGGTCCCCAGCATGCTCTGAATGTGCAGGTAGTCAAGCAATACCTAGACTAGTTTCTCCTCTCTGTTGCTAGTCTGTCGCGACCATCCTTCCTCAGTAAATCTCCAATGGGGACAATACATAAAGCAGGTAGATTTATATCAGCCTATAGAGTCTCATGCTTTACAATGGACAAGGCTATTTAGGCTGCACAGAGGGAGGCTATGACATCTGCAGTATCATATTCTTTCTGAAAGGGACTTGGTCAACCCTGAGGAACTGTCCCATTGATTCTGACCTCTGGCTGTGATGGACAGCAGCTTTGGTTACTATTTTATAATTAAAGAAATAAAGCAAACACTGCTTATTCCATGCCAGACATTATGCTACACAGGTTACATGTATATTCTCATTTAAGCCTCTCACAAGCATTATGGACCTAGATGTTATTATTCCTCTTTTACAATTTTAGAAACTTAAGATGTTGTGATATTATGCCTCTTGGACAGGGTTTTAGTCAGGAGAATGAGAACTTTTAAACCAAGACTGTTCGATTTCAGATCCCATTCTCAGTCCACACCACCCTGTCCCACCCAGGAAGGCTGAAGTTTTCCGGTATCTTAGTCCATTTCATCCACTTCGTCCAGTTCTTTCCACTCAGAAACTCTGGAGCAGGTTCTCACCAAATATGCTCTTTCCTGTATCAAGGGACAAAGACTGAAGACGGTACGGGCACTTTATCAATCCACCCTCCTGGATTTGTGTTGAGCACACATCCATGCAGCCCCACCAGGCCCGTCACAGAGACTGATGAGTAAAAGCAAAGCAAGACAAATCTTAATGGTCTCTTGTACTTCATTATTAAGAGTTAATAGAAGCTGCTGCAGCAGCAGCCTTAAGAAAAAAAGAAAAATTATTTTTCTTTTCTTTTTCAAGGGCAAGTAGCAAAGCAAGGGAAGTAAAGAAGCAAGAGTCCAAGGTGGAGAAAGCGGCTTACAGCTCAGCCTCTGCTGAGGAACACCTGAGATGTTATTCTGAGTGAAAATGGCTGCTAGCACCGGCTGGTGGGGAACAGATGGCCACGTTAGGTGGGGCACTCAGGGGACAGAGTATTCCCTCCTTCTGCTGCAGAACCAAGTGACCTGGAGCTGTTCCATAGCACATACCTGCTTACCTCCCCTGCCACCTGGTGCATGGCACACTGGACTTCCTGGGTACCCTATGGCCACTCAGAAACCCTGGATTTTCTAGATGGCACCTCTGCCACCGCACCAGAAGAGAAGGAGATACAAAATCAAAAGATTTTGGGGGCAGTCCTTTAGGCTGAAATGGAGGGCACACTTGGTTCTGTAGCAATTTCCTCTCCCTCAAGCCATTTTTCAATGGCCTATTAACGTGAACACTGCATGAAAATTCTTACTTGTAATGATATGTTCTGCTTTTCAAATGTATCTTTCTGGGATCCCTAAAAAATAATAGCCAAGCTGACTAGCTTGTCACATAAATGAAACATGTTTTGGGTCTCTTTGAGTCTGGTAGGTTTTATTTACTTGGGTTAGGCATCAGGTCTTTTGTCTATTTTTATTTTCAATTCAAAAGCTATGTAAAAAAAATATTGTAGGAACACACGCAAATCCAAACAATTAACCTTAGCTCCAACAGAGGGAACTCTGTTTTCCAAATGAAGTGGGATGGCTTCTCCCCAAATTACCTGCTTTGCTGCTTAGTGCAGAGAGCAACACACCACATACCATATGTTAGGTGCTGCCAAGCCCTACCCAGAACACTAAGTTTGTAACCTGCTTAGGGTTGAACAAGAGAATATACCATTCCCTAAAGTAAAATCCAAGAAATAACTACTGTCTTGGTCTCAGAGGGGATGTAATCATATTCAGAGCTTGGCCAATTCAATATAAACATAAATGAACAAGATTTTCGATGTGTTTGGCATAAATTAAGACATGTTGACAATAATATATATGTGTTTTCTTACATATATACCCCAGGCCAGGTTTCTAATAGGAATTTTTGCTATTAACTCCCACCTTAAATTCTGATGAATTTTAGATCAGTCGTATAGTCTTAGACTTTTGGTCCTGCCTTCTTGGTACATATTACTGTAAATCAATAAGAGGGAAGAGTTTTGGGGGGAGGGAGCACGGCTGGGATTAAACTACACATCACAAAGTCAGGACCATAATTATTCGCTGCAGATTTGTCTCAAGTTCACTGTATACGACCTTGGCCAAGTCATCTGGTCAATATGCAAGAATAGGATAACACCCTCCCTTTTCCTCCAGAAATTATTTTTTACCTGGATTTCTTAAATGTTACCTATAGACTAAGCCTTAAACATCTCTTCTGTAAAAACTGTTGTTCTTACAGTCTTGCAGGCCAGACACAAGGTTTATGTATGATCTAGAGCAAGGATTTCACCCCAGATGGTTCATCTTATCCTTGACTCTCAACATGCTTTGGGTGCCAGCTATTCAATTCTAAATTGATTTCTGCTCAGGAACTGACAGTGCAGGTGATTTTAACTGGAGTCCATCATGGGTATGAGGTATGGTTGCTTCCCCCAGCACCTATGAATTACTGACAATTAATGAGACAGCCCAGGTGTACAGGGCTTCAGGGGTAGTAGTGGCAAAAGCCTCATCAAGGAGACACTCTTGGCCCTTCTGCCTATCTATATGTTTTGGGACAAGTCACTTCACTCTTTTAGATTCCAGTTTCCTCATTTACAATGAAGAATTTAGTTGAGCGTATCTCTAAGACTCTAACTTTACTGTTTGAGTCGTGCACAGAATACACCAAAATACTAACTTCATATACAGTGTATGATTTTGGTTTTTTTTTCTATAGGAGTTTGTACATGACCACTCTTCTGCATAAGAACTGACTAATAATAATAAATATCTTCCAATGTTAAAGAATAAATGACCTAAATGAAATATCTGAGGATCCTAGAAAGAAAGATCTCAAGACCTAAAAATATTGCAATTGATCAAACTGTGGCAATATTTATGAAATTAAACTACATAGCACGATCATTTACCTTTTAAAATCAGGTAAGAAGTGTTGGCAAAATTATTAACTTCGAATCACTCTGATTGGCCATCCATTTATAGGAAGGAGACGGGATACAAATGGTGGCGGGAGATGATGATGTTTCCAAGGCTATGTCTGATGTCAATAAAGTTTGTACATCACTGGCATCAGAAATATCTGGAGAGTTTTGTTAAAAAAGAATGTGGATTTGGGGTTTCATCCTAGACCCATTTAATCAGATTCTCTGAGGAAGGGATACTAGAATATGCATTTTAACAAGTGCTTTAGGCTATTCTTGTTTACACCAAGGTTTGAGAACCACAGGAAAATGGGAGCTAATGTTCCAAGTGCCTACAGCTTGGGGGGCTTCCTGGGAGTAATAGATGTTTGAGTTTCAGGGAAGCAGCTAACTGGGAAGAAGTAAGAAGCGGTTGTTTCTTTTAGAAACATCGATGCCCTCAGACATAGTGGTTGTTTGGCTCATAAAACAACTTGGGTGGG